CAATCCAGAGCAAGGCCCCACTTCCTAAGCCCTCCCCAAAATTACCTAATACAAGCCCAAATTCTATAGTAAGTCTTTTTTTAACACCTGCTTACTTAGACATCCCACGGTTACTTAGGGTATGTATTCTCCCTCACTGCAGTGAGTAAGAAACCAACTTTTTCAATTAAAAAAAAGTCAAGGTGACCCAAGAGATCAAATTATATTTTAAAAATTTATTTTTATATTGTTCAAAGCATAGAGATTCACACAGTACTACATAAATAATCAGCTCACCACAAATCCAATATCAATGAATGCAAAGTCATTAAAATTCTAATTCTGTGGTCAGTAGTTTTGATTATAATTATTATGTTTACAATAGATGGAAAAAGCGAAATAATATTTTTAAATGTATGCATACCCCATAGGATCAACCTTTATCCTGCCATTTACTATAATAGAGTCATTTGCAAAATAGCAAACAAATTAGGCTAACTAGGAGCCACTGACAAATGAAAAGAAATGAGAGCATAATTGTAGAGTTTATGTAAATGGCGCATAACATCCACATAAATCATATAAAAACATTCAGTCATTTGCATTTTTCTAACTAGTCTGACTTTTCATAAAAGCAGCTAATGATAGATCATATATGATAGCAAGAGCAGCATATTATAAACTACTACATGCCAAATTTCAATTAATAATGAAGCAGTAGGTGCCTGGTATAATTAGAAAGAGCCCCAGGCCAGGAGATCCAGGGTCTGGGCTCAGTTCTAGGATGAACTAGCTGAATTTGCCTTTAGTCATAGACTAAGACTAAAGTCTTAGGCATAGACTGCTAGAGGTAAAAGGACACTGGAGATCAGCTAGCCAAGGAAACTGAGGCTCAGAGAGGTAAAGTGACTAAACCACAATCACACAGACAGTTCCAGTGCCTCCAACATGCAGCCTCAGAACTCTGGCCCCTGTCCCACTTCTTGGGAATGATACCTCATTTATAGAGTGAGAACAATCATCCATGTCTGCTTCTTTCTCACGGAGGTGCTGGGCTGATGACTGGAACCAACTGCTGTGAGTGAATATGTGCTTGCTTATATTTAAATGAATTCAATGAAATAACTCATCTTTGGGGGTCGGTGCTGTCTGCATAAATCCTCTCAATGCCAGAGGTTTTAAGAAAGTAGGACTATGTTTCTTAATGGCAGCAGTATCAGCATTTTAAGTAGAACATTCTCCCCAGTGTGGGGCGGCCCTCCCCACACTGCAGGATGTAAAAGACACAGTTGGCCCCCAGCTACTCAATAGCAGCAGCACCTCCAGGTCAAGGCTGGCCCCAGGTCGAGGTGATTTAAAACATCAAAATTAATGCAAAAAATCCATGGTCGACAAAATATCGAAATGCCAGAATGTTAAACAAAGATGCAATCAGTATTACTGATTTTTCCTTTCGCCTCAGGCTCTAATACGGCTCAACTTGGCACTATTACTGATCCTGTCTTTATTGAAAATGTTGGTATTTTGTTCATCATGAATTTTTACATTAATTTTGATTTTTAAAGGGACTTCATTAAAAACTATCTAGCTCGGTTACTGAGTTTTGGCGCATCCCTTAAATTTTGCAACCAAGGCAAGTGCCTCACTTGCCTCACCCTAGTCCAGGGCTGCTGCTGGTCATTGTGACAACCCAAAACACCTCCACACATTTCCAAAGGCCTCCGTGGGTTGAGAACCAGGGGCTAATTTTTCTCATATAACAAGAAGTCCAGAGAAAGGCAGCTTGGGCGTGAAATAGTGGCTTCATAATGCCAGCAGGGCCCTAGATTCCCTTCATCTCCTCTGCGCTCACAAGATGGCTGCTGTGCCCCAAGGAATCATACACCCCAGACAGGAAAACAAAGGTAGGGAAAAGGGCAGGAAAAATGCGCCAGCTGAGCCTGACTCTTTTAATTAAAAATATAACTTTCCCAGGATTCCCACCCAATAACCCTTAACTCATATATCATTGGCCAGAAATGAGTCATGTGGCTGGCCCTAGATGCAAGGAGCCTGGGGGGAGAACATGTTTAAGTGGGCACAACTCCAGACAGAACAAAATTAGTGCCCTCTCCATAAGAATGAAGGGGAGAGTGAATAAAAGATAAACAGTTACAAATGTCTGGGGGACACTTGTTTGTTGTCAGTGCCATGCAGCCGATTCTCACTCCTCGCGACCCTGTGGAGAGCAGAACGAATCCTACCTGGTCTTTTGCACCATCCCCTCACCTTCTTGCCCTCTATCAGACAAGGCTCAGCTACTATTTATAGGGTATTCGTGGCCAATTTTTTCAGAAGTGGGTGGCCAGGTCCTTCTTCCTAGTCTGTCTAGTCTGGAAGCTCTGCTGAAACCTCTCCACCATGGGTGACACTGCTGGTATTTGAAATACTGGTGGCGTAGCTTTCAGCATCACAGCAACATGCAGCCACCACAGTTAGACAACTGACGGATGGTGTGGTTCCCAGATCAAAACAAACACCCCACCCTGGCAGTGAGAGCATGGAATCTTCACCACTAGACCACCAGGGCTGCTTCGTGGGGGCCATGCAGGATAAAAAATGCTGGCTCTTTTTGGTGATTGCGAAGAGCATCTTCTCTGCTTGTAATCTGATAGTCTGCCTGAGCAGAGCATTTTGATGGTCGCTTTTAGAATGAAGGATAAAAACCAGCATGTTGTCTTAGGTTGGGCTCCATAGAAACAGAGCCTGAAACAGGGCTGTAGGTGCATGTGATTTATTAAGGGCACACTCTTGGGAGAAACCTGTAAGGGAGTGAGGGGAGCAGCCAAGGAAAGGGGAATGAGCCAATCAAGGATGCACTGTCACATGAAGTTTTGCCTTGGCCTGATGCACAAGGGCTATAGGCCTAAATCACCATACAGAGTTGCCCCACCTTGAGGAAGCTCAGCTTTTTACTCCTGACAAATGGGTCAGCGGCTACCTCCCGTCGTGGTGAAGGGGCTACTGTCGCCTCCCAGGCTTCCCTGGGTGATGCAATGCCCACTGGCCAAGAGCAACGCTCCAGAGAGGGTTACAGGTGTGAGCTGTTTGCTCCAGTAGTTGCTGCAGCTGGGAGGAACGGGTGCCCTACCCCTAACGTGGATTGAGGTGGGCACCAAGAGCATCTACTACAAACATGAATTTTCATACACTTTCCAAAGAACTGCCTTTATTTCTATTTTGTGTTGTTTGAGAATGTAACCCTAAACATACTGCTACAATTCAAAGCTATCGGAAAAACTGGCAGCGAGCTGAAAAGATTTCATTTTTAAGAAAAATGATTAACAGGTGTTGACTTGTTTTGTTGAACCATGAACGTAGAAAGCCCTTCCTAATTTGCTCTGGGTTTTAACCAGGATCCAGTGTAGTTCACAATCTCATCAGAGCACATAAATATTTCATAGTCTTAGTGTCTCATTTAAAGCTCAATGAATATTTAACTGAAGTTGACCAACAAAATAACTGAAAGAATTATGTTGCATTTAGTTAGGCCTGAAATGAGCAAGCTCTTCATTTTCTCAAGTAGTTTGAAGATAAAATTATTCCAACTTCATAAAATATTCTACATAATTTTATAAGTAATTAAAGGGCTGCAAAACAGGCTTGAAAGGCACATATTAAATGCTGAGAAAAACATGAAATAAGATGAATTTTCAACTTTAAATGCAAGAGGATAGTTTATATATTGTGGCCTACAACATTACTTATTCAGTAGTAGATTAAACTATTGTCAATATGCTCTTTCTGTCACAAGAAGTAAAAATAGAATCTTTTCTTTGGCCCTTGCAAGTTAAATATTCTAGAATGATGATGTGTAAACACCTATAAGACTGATATTAACAGGAAACCATGTGTGATCTACCCAGGTAAGTCAGCCCAGAAACTGTTTCTGAACTCTGGGTCCAGCACTGAGCAGGACACTGAAAAATAATTTAAAAAAGAGAAATATTGGTCCATGTTCAAAGTCGAGATGGTTTCCCGGGAACGAAGCTTCCCTGCCGTCTGTTAGATCTCCATAAGTGTCAGAACTGGGCTTTAAAAAGAACATGTGCTCTCATTGATCAACCTTAACCCAGACGACCTGGGATATGTCACTTCTACCAAATTTGAAGCCAGTTTAATTGGAATCAAAGTATTGTCAACCAGTCCATGTTAAAGCTGCTAAAAACCACCTGGTAAACTCAGCATACTAAGGTTTGAATTCTTTATCTAGACCTGAATTATTTTTTAGTTACGAGACCTAAATAATCTAATAACGGGTTCTTTTTTGAAGAACAGAACACGGGGCTGCGATACAGGGTTGTCTGATAAACACAGTATATCCATATAGCTGCCTTATGGAAAATATATGGTCACCTTGGATTTTTTTTCCCTTTGATCTTAGTCCCTTTTTAAGATATTCAAATGGATTACCTTTTTCAACTGTCAACATGCCAGTATGTGTGTGTGTTATGCGTACAAACATATACATTAAAAAGTTCAGACTCTTGTCTAATAATGGCATCTCTTTCCTTCACTTCTGCAACTCTTGCCATGTCACCCTTTGGTCCTCAGGAATGGGGAACCATAATTGGTATGGAGAAAAGAAGTGAGGGCATCTTTCTGTTGCTATTTAATGGCACATTCAGAATCAAACAAACTTATTTGGTTAATGGCAACTCACTAAGCAAAAGTGACAGTCTGACCAAACTCTTAGTTATCTATAGAAGGACAGATTATCCTGTCCAGGGGAAGTGATGAGAGAAAGGTTAATAAGCATTAGCTAAGAAAGGTGAACATTTGGCGCCCGCAACCAATGTGCCTGGTCAGAAACAGAAGCAAGAATAACTTTTCTTTGTTTAGGGTACTTTTGTTCTTAAATGTGTCTTTTCAGGAGAACTAGCCTTAACATTTACATTGAGGACTCATTTTCTCAAATCTACTTAATACTTATTACATGTAACATTTTAAGATTGCACGTCTCTCAATGTCATGTGACTTACCTGTTTATCAAAAGCTACCCAGGGGGGTGCGTCAATTCCCATTTCTTTAAGAAATGCACTGTATTTAGGCTTCCTCTTTTGCCTGAGACACAGTTCTCCACCTATTCCGGGTTTATCTTCATTCATCAACATCCTAACGTTGTTGCAAAAGCCCCAATGTTGAGGTTTGTGGAACTTCTCCTTTCCCACCTGTGAACACAAGAGACAACACAGAATGGCCAAAGTTACTCTTTATGACTTTTCTTATTTGTTTTCAAACGTAAACACATTTCTCATCGTTAATTTTTCCCATTACGAAATGCATATTAGAATGGCAAATAATTATGATCAATCTTTATCCATAAAGTTGTCAAATTTTAAATTCATTTTCACAAATTCAAAACTTTGGAAGCTTAATAAGAATAAACCCAACACTCCATGCTATTTAAAACATTTAAAAATAACTATTACTGCAAGTGAACGTTTAGAACATTAGCTTGCTAATTGGTCTATTCTACTTATTTGCCAAGAATGCAAATAGCGGGGAAAAAAACCCTCCTCTACTTCAAGTAAAAATGTAACAGTTTTCCTGCAGAAGTCCAAACATTATTTTCACCAAAACAGAGAATAAAATCCTTGCCTCATTAAAATAAATGTAATAGCTCATTCCTCAGAGCTGACATCCTCCTCCTAATGGAGAACCTTGACCTCCCTCTTCCTTACTCCTTTCCCACCTTTTCTGGGCATCTGTGCAGAGAAGGAAAAGCCCAGATAATGCTACCAAGGGCTGGCAAAGATGTGGGCCCACATCAAATCATATGCACTCCTAGTAGGAAAGTAAAGCAGAAAAATCCCCCTGAGGAGAGATTTGCAATACCTAGCAAAGTGAAAGCTGTGTATGCCCTACCGCCTAGCAAGACCACTCCTAAATATCTTTTGCCCTGGTACATGAGGAGCTATACATCAGATTATTTATTACAGCAGTGTTTGTAAGAGTGAAAAGTAGGAAACAATCTAACCGTCCGTCAATAGCAGAAAAGATATCTCAATTGTGTTCTCTTTATAAAATGGAATATTAATAGAGGTTGAAAATTACATGTATCAATATGGACAAGTCTCAAAAAATGTCAACCAAAAAAAAAAATAGGTAGTAGAAAGGCACATAAAATTTGATAATTCCACATATGTAAAGCCTGAAAATATTCAAAAATACAGTATTATTTATGGATAATATAAGTATGCAAATGATAAGCAGCAATTCAAGATAATATAATATCCATGATAATATGATGATATAGAATACAACAAATATCATACATCATACAATGAATATCCATGTACCCCCACAGCCCTGCATAAAAAAATAAAACACTTCAGATACAACTGAAGCCCTCTCTCAGAGTTCACGCCCTTGTCTCCCTCTCCAGAGGTAACCATTATCCTGAATTTGCTGCTTGAACTTTAACACTTTGCCAGGATTATATACAGCCAAGGCAATAGCCTCTTGCAAACAGAATGCATTGGCAGGAAGTCTGAGAGGAGGGTCAAAAAGACCTCATTTCAAGGCAACCTATTGAATGGGAGAAAATATTTGCAAGTCATATATCTGATAAGGGGCAAATATCCAAAATATAAAAAGAACTCAGAGACCTCAACAGCAAATAAACAAACAATCTGATTTAAAAAATGGGCAAATGATCTGAATAGACATTTTTCTAAAGAAGACATACAGATGGCCAACAGGTACTTGAAAAGATGCTCAATATCACTAATCATCAGGAAAATACAAATCCAAACCACAACAAGATATCACCTCACACCTGTTAGAATGGCTATTATCAAAAAGACAAGAAATAAGTATTGGTGAGGATAAGTATAAGTATTGGTGGAGAAAAGGGACCCTTGTGCACTGTTGGTGGGAATGTAAATTGGTGCAGCCACTATAGAAAACAATACAGAGGTTCTTCAAAAAATTAAAAATAGAACTACTATATGATCCAGCAATTCCACTTCTGGGTATTTATTGGAAGAAAATGAAAACACTAATTCAAAAAGATATATGTACCCTCGTGTTCACTGCAGCATTATTTACAATAGCCAAGACATGGAAGTAACCTAAGTGCCCACTGATAGATGAATGAATAAAGAAGATACAATGGAATATTACTCAGCCATAAAAAAGAATGAAAACTTGCCATTTGTGACAACATGGATGTACCTTCAGGGCATTATGCTAAGTGAAATAAGTCAGAGAAAGATAAATACCACATGATCTCACTTATATGTGGAATCCTTAAGGAAAAAAAAAACTCATAGATACAGAGAACAGATTGGTGGTTGCCAGAGGGGGGGGGGGGGGGGGCGGTGAGTGAAATGAATGAAGGGAGCCAAAGGTACAAACTTTGTTAGAAAACATAAGTCATTAGGATGTAATGTACAGCGTAGTGACTATAGTTAATAGTACTGCATTGTACATTTGAAAGTTGCTAAGGAAGTAAATCTTATAAGTTCTCATCACAAGAAAAAAATTTATAACTATGTGGTGACAGATGTTAACTAGACTTAATTGTGATCATTTTGCAATATATACAAATATTGAATCATTACACTGGACACTTGCAACTAATATGTCAATTATACCTCAATAAAAATAAAAAATATAATACTCAATATTAAAAAAAAAGAAACGACTTCATTTCCTCTTGTAGTGAAGGCAGCCTGGAAGAACAGGGAAGGGCGTGAGCAGCCCTGCCCAGGGGAGCCAGGGCCACAAGAGCTGCGCTGGGCAGGTGAAGAGCCCAGCTCGAAGGCTAAGGGAGGAAAGCTAGAGGCAGTGGTTAGGATGGTGAGCTGCAGCCTGGCTCTGTCCCTCAGAGGATCCACTGCCACCACCTCCACCAGCCCGCTACTCCTCGTTAACACACACACACACTCACACACACACTCAGCTTGCCACAAGTCAGTCCTAGATCACCACAGCAAAACAAAAGTTGGGTTGGTTAAAATGAATGATGCAGTAACATAGAATTTTATAAAAATTAACCTTCCCTCTTTTAAAGCAAGTAATTTCAGGTAATCACAAACTCACCTAAGGTCAAACAAATAAATGTTTATTAAGCATTTACTGTATTCCTAGTTTTGTGCCAGATATACTAGTTAAAATAAACAAAAGACCCAGCCCTTGCCCTAAGAAGAAACCAACGTTCTTGCTGATGGGACAAGATTTAGAAATATAAAACAACTAGAAAACAGTACATTTTGACCACTTACTATGAGCTGGACCCTTTACTAAGGGCTTTACATACATTGTCTATTTCACCATCACAGAACTATTTGATAAGTGTTACTACTGCCATTTTACCAATGAGGAAACCAAGTTAGAGAGAGGTAGACTAGCACACCCACAGTCACATGGTAACTAGTGGAGCCTGCATCTGAACCTAACTAAGTTCACGTAACCGTAAGCTCTGGTAAGTTTATCTGCCCAGAGTGATAGGCTGATGGGCTGGAGTAGTAGTGTTAAGGTGCTGCGGGTAACTGGGTACTCTCTTGGGCCTGCAGCAATGGGATGAATTAGACAGGAGAGGAGAGGCAAGGGTGTTCCGGGCAGGGTTATGAGTGATGCACTGGAGCTGAGCTGACAGCACCCAGCGTGAGGGGCAAGAGAGGGGCGAGTCTAATCAAAAGGACAAGCTCAGGTTTGGAAGAGGGGTGAAATAGGGTAGAATACGTAAGGAGGTCTATATTACGGAAGGCCTCACACTTAAATACCATATATACATCTGAAACTCTCCTTGAGCAAGGATGAAACATAACGAAAGACTGTCTGGGGTGACAATCTTCTAGATAGACTGAAAAACATTTTATAGCCATCAGAATGCCAAGAATTAGAAAACTAGATAATATCAAATGTATAAGCGGATGTGGGGAAACAAGAGAATGCTTCGCTGATGGGAGAGTTAACCATCTTTCTGGGCAGCAGTGTGGTACTACTTGGCAAAACGAGGGATGTGTATTCCCTATGATTCGAGAATCTCACTCCTGGATACACATCTCAGAGAAATTCTCACAGTAGCAAATAAATGGATATGTATGAGAATGTGTCATGGTATTTGCGAGAAGTTGGGGGCGACTTAGATATCTTCGTTGATAGAACAAAAAAGAAAATATGATTTAATGGATAAGTACACTATGGTGGATGTTTACTTCACCTCACTGCTTAGAAGCAATAAACCAGATGTATTACCTCGGGTTGCCATAACAACATAACACAGACTGGGTGACTTAAACAACAGAAATTTATTTCTCGCAGTTCTGGAGGCTGGGAAGTCCAAGATCAAGGTGCTGGCCAATTCACTGCCCAGTGAAGGTTCCCTTGTTGGCTTGCAGACTGCCAACTTCTCACTGAGTCTTCACACGGCAGTGAGAAAGAGAGCAAGCTCTCTAATGTCTCTTCTTATGAGGGCACTAATCTCATCATGGGGGCTCTACCCTCATGACCGCATATATACCTAATTACCTCCCGAGACCCCATCTCCAAACACCATCACACTGGGGAGTCAGGGCTTCAGCACATGAATTTGGGGTGGACACAATTCAGTCCATAGCACAAGACGTACATATAGCAATACAGATCCTTAAAACATATTGTTGGCTGAAAAAAATGTTATCTATAGCACACAATATCATTTATATTTTTTTAAAAACAACAATGCTACATATTTTACAAGGACACACACAGATTCAAGAATGCACACCAAAGACATTTGTATGGGAGCCTATATAAAGTGGAGAAGGAATGACATTAAGAATGATGAAGAATACAAATACACCAAACAAGAGAGAGACCTTGCACAGATCAATAATGATATTGTACCAGAAATGGGGGTATTAATCCACCTCTTTGCACCCAACATTTAAAACAAAAGTGATGGACTGGAATGAGAGGTGAGAGGTAGGCAGACTAGGCGAGCTGCTAGGGCAGCCGAGGAAGCACAGGGTGACAAAGGCCCGCACAAGGGTGACAACAATGGGAATGGGAAGGAAGGGGCATCCTATAGGACAGGCACCCTCAAACTATCTTTGAGGAAGGGCAAGTTTGATTGTTTGTTTCCTCAAATCATTTCAGATTGATACTTTTGTAATATACAATAAAATTAATTACAAAAAATTGAAATAAAAACAAAGACTTAAAAACTTACAAGCCCCAC